TTAGAAATTTTGAAAGAGTGGTGTTACTACCAAAAAAAACAACTGAGTACTAAAGGAAATTTGAATGGGATGCCGAATTAAAAGGTAAAAAAATATGAAATAGGTAAAGAGTATTAGAGATTTTGGATTTAATATAGATGTGGTGTAGTAAATGGTTATTGTTATTGTATTTGTTATTGTATTTGTATTTGTTAGGAGATGTGCTTGAAATCAAGAAGAGTACTACTGGTTTTGGTATCTACATACCCCCAAAAAGCCTTAAAGAATCCTATAATCTCACGGCAAACTCCAGTATCTTCACAGAACTTGCAGCCATAGTTCAGGTCTTGCAAACATCTGACCAAACAAACACTACCATCTGCATTTTTACGGATTCCTTACAGGCTCTCAAAAATTACTCTTCAACAAAAATACCATACGATCTAATCAATAGCACTGTTTGTACAGAAGAATACAAAACCACCAAAAACAAAAATAATCAAATACATTTTATCTGGGTCCCCTCACATATCGGAGTCCATGGCAACGAAATGGACATCTTTGTCAGTTGTGTGTAATTGTGAAACCAGTAAAAGACTGTAAAACCAGTAAAAGACTGTAAAACTTATCAATTTACAGGATATATCCATGTCTCCATGTAAAGACGGAGAATTCTCCGAATGAATAAACCAACCAACCAACACTTGTCATTTTTTAAACTTCTGTAGGCAGAGTGGGAAGACACTATAGAACAGTTCATTAACCAAGTAACTGGTCAAGTTCATTTTAGCAGGGGTAGAAACAGGTCAGGTCCTGATCACTGGACCCTATCATGTTGTTTTAACCTGTAGGCAGTTTGGGACTGTAGGCAGTATGGGAATACACCTTCAAGAACTCTTGGCATGTCTCCTAACAAGCTGTAAAATGTTATCCCTCGACGGCGGTGCAAGCAGGTGGGAACATTTCAAACTCATTTAGGGTTGATAAATTAGACAGGTTACAGACAGACAGATAGTTTATTTTAAAATGATATGTCGCATATGATGTATATAAATATATATGTACACACACACACACACACTTACACACATACATATGCATACATATATACGTAGGAGGTAAAACAAAGGCATGCAAAATGAAAACATAATGAAGTTATACGATAAAATGTTATACTCTAGTAGGTTACTTAAGTTAGCAGTTTACCAACCTGTATAATTAACTCACAATCAGTAAATTCGTTCAAAACACGATTACAGACCAAACAAGGAAATATTCTCTTTTATAAAAACGTTGGATATAGATTTTGTTCAGGTTTGGTTGTAGTGACTTGAACGCTCATAGTTTTGATAGACATATTTCAAATAATCCGAATTGTGCATGTGGGTATCCATGAGAAGATTCTCTCCATTACTTCCTTCTTGTCCCTGTTATGACTTAATAAGATCAGACAAATATTTCTGTACAAATGGTTTTGACTTGAATTCAATTCTTCATGGTAATCAAACTTCTAGCAACAGAATTAATTAGGTTATTCTTGACTCTATTCATAAATATATACTACTTTCAAATAGATTGAAATTACTCTAAACTCGTATGCATGCAATTACTATGACCCACTGAATATAATTTTGAAGATATTTTCCTATTATTATCCATTTCTTGCCTTTGTGGAATTAATTAATTACTTTTGTTTGAATTTAATTATTGATTGAATTGTGTTATATTGGATGGAGTGGCACTTACATAAGCCGTTGGCTTGTTGTTCAATCCATATTCATGGAATTTCTATTTCGTGAACAAAGTATGTTTAAAAAAAATAAATGTAATGAGAGTTGTCGACTGTGAAAACATTAAGGTTGGGCAGATTCAAGCACTAACTGATCTTAATAAGACTAGATCTTTTATTATTGGAGGAATGTTTAAAAGAAGTGTAATTCTGTTTCCTTCTCCAACTGACCCGTGAGGGTCCGGGTTAGGAATATTGATCTTCAGTAACCCATGCTTGTCGTAAGAGGGACAAATGGGATAGGGTGGTGAGGCTCGCTGACTTGGTTGACACATGTCGTTGGGCAGATCGATGCTCATGCTGTTGATCACTGGATTGTCTGGTCCAGACTCGATTATTTACAGACCGCCGCCATATAGCTGGAATATTGCTGAGTGCGGCGTAAAACTAAACTCACTCACTCACTCACTCGTTCTCCAGCTACAAGTATGTGTATTTGTAGCTGTGTCCATATCTACATCACTATGGATGCACAAGTTCATGTCAGATACCTTCTCGATGTTCTTGACGGCATATTTGCATGTTATGTACCACATAGGTTTAAGGTTAACCGATAAGTCGATGACATCTGCTACTGGACATGTACAGTACAGCACTGGAAAGTATCTATCCACACACAAGATGATCGCTATGTAGCAGTTGATCGGGCTTGCTGCGAGCCAAGACCAGGCTATTCACTGGCAGCATCACTGTCCTAGAGTACAGTTCACTTACATGGTGTTTGTGAACAGTGGACAACACAGTGAAGATGAGCAATGTGACTTTGATATGATCTGATGATATGAACTTTCTACATTTTCTTTCTTCCAGCAATAAATCTATCGTTAACATTTCGCCTAAGAAATTTACCTTTTGTAACTATAGGTACAGATTTATGTTTGTCAATCTCTAATGCATGTGTATATCATTAAGGATTAACCAGGTGAACGAACTCTGGGCCATGTGTCCGTTATTCATGAATATGTCCACGTCGATTGAAACGTGAAAATCTCTGTGGTATCGTATATCATGCCATTCAAAACACATAATTTCTTTCGCTCGTAGGTTAAGAAAATCTGTGTGAAGAGCAATATGGCTCAGATTGAATACTGACATTTTAATTACCGACACTGTTTCAGTGACAATGGAAAGAGTCACACAGCTAGCAATAGTAATCACTGCGAGGTAATGATGTGCCATCTGGTATGGAGTGAAAGTGTATAAATACTGTGCTGTTCAGCAACAAGAGCATCACTCTCACCATGAAGACCTTCCTGCTACTACTGGCGCTCTCCTTCGTTGCCATATGTTGGTCACAAGCACCACAGGAAGGTGACCGTCCACCTCCACCAACCGGATGTCCCCCACCACCAGAAGGTGAATCTCGACCACGCAGACAAGCACCACTGGAAGGTGACCGTCCTCCACCACCAACCGGATGTCCCCACCCCACCGGAGGTGAATCCCGACCACGCAGACAAGCACCACAGGAAGGTGACCGTCCACCTCCACCAACCGGATGTCCCCCACCTCCCGAAGGTGAATCTCGACCACGCAGACAAGCACCACAGGAGGGTGACCGTCCTCCTCCACCAACAGGAAGCTCTCCACCTCCAGAAGGTCAGTCTGGTTCACAAGAACAAGCACCACAGGAAGGTGACCGTCCTCCACCTCCACAAAGGCAGTCTGGCCCACAAGGACAAGCACCACAGGAAGGTGACCGTCCTCCACCTCCAGAAGGTCAGTCTGGCCCACAAGGACAAGCACCAAAGGAAGGTGACCGTCCTCCACCTCCAGCTGGATGTCCTCCACCTCCAGAAGGTCAGCCTGGCCCACAAGGACAAGTACCACAGGAAGGTGACCGCCCACCTCCACCACGACGAGGCCCTCCACCTCCCGAAGGTAAAGGACGAGATGCCAGAGGTCCTGGAGGAAGAAGACCCCCTCCTCCAAGCATGAACTAACTAAATTAGTTTCAAGGTGAACACGTTATACATAACATTTATAGAGGTGTACAGATATCGATACTGAGCTAACACTCTAAGTATATCTTATCAACAAATACTGTAGCGTTCTTTTTAAAATATGCAAAGCTATGATGAATAATTTCCTAAGCGGCTTCACTAGATCATGTCAGATGTATAAGGCACTTCAAGCTGATCCCTTTAACTGATCACAAACTCTTTTGTAATGTTTAATAAGCATATTCTCTTTTTTACAGATTCACCCTACGTGAATAAAATCGTAATAGAAATTAAGATCTTTCGTTGTGAATTATCTTAGGACACTTTCGTCAGTAGTAAAGATGTGCGACATATTGTCCCAAGAAATTGGAAGTTGTTTGTTTGATCGCATGTCAGCGTACCCCAGAGTTCGTACTTTCAGCTGTTGGTTTGTTTGCCAGTCATTCGCAAGTTTCAAGGCTGCACTGAGACAGCTGGAACATATCTGACGTGATTATGTAAAAGCTCCGTCATGTAGCAGGAATACAGTGACGAGTGCCAGGTGCCATTGTTCCTTCACTTATGCAGTTACTGAAAGTCTTGGAGACCTGGGTCCAGGGTCCCGATCCACAAAGCGTTCGTAACGTTACGACCTGTCGTAACTCAATAGTTTATCATAGGCTTACAAATGTCGTAGCCCTACGAACGTTTTGTGGATCCTGCCTCTGGTTGATTGTATGCCATCTCACCAAGGGTACGTGTGACATGCCAGCTGTTGTCAGTTGTCAGTCTGTCTTTCCCTGGATGAGTGTGTTAGGACCACCGTGAAAAGGTTTGAATATTCGTGCAAGTGGTCATCCTTTCCTATACTCTTGACTTTAGAAATGTCTCGGTTTGCAAGTAACATTCAGCTTTATCTCAGGATTACCTCCTGAGGAAATACACACACACACACACACACACACACACACACACACACACACACACACACACACACACACACACACACACACACACACACACACACACACACACACACACACACACACACACACATACATACATACATACATACAGGGGTTGGTTGAACGCCATATTCAACAGTACTTCAAGAATACAAGGTGATGCAGGTCTTACAGGTTTCACATTTGGTGAAGCCCACGTGCTGACGTACCAAAGGATTATAATCAGAGAGAAACAACGAGTCAGATAGAGAAGATTCAGTATTCAAGGCCACTGGTCTATAACATGATTGTGTACAGAATAAATGACATGCACGCAAAGCCTTAGACTTATCTAGAACATATACGTACTTTGTTCATGAAGCGGCACTAGAGTCACAGGACTTTTAACTTTGGATACAATTAATCTAAACATTTCAGAGTTTTCATGCAATCAGTAGACTTTAGGGATTTCAACTTCACAAATGTGGGTGGGTAAACAGATCGTTCATCAGAACATTCTTTTCTTTCCTTGCTATATTTATCACACATTCAGTTGCTAATCTGAAGTTACAACTGAACTAGAGATACTTCTTTTGTAATAGAGTGGGAGACAGGATAATGATAATCATCTCTCAACCTTAGTTCTGTCCTAGAGGGATGTCAGAGGTGGTGCAGAACACCTACAGGTTACACTAAACCAAATGATTTTACACAGGCTTCGATAGAAAATTTATTTAACCTTCAACACAGGTATATGTGTACATAGGCAGGTCTTAATATATCAATGAAAACATGGTATCAGGCTAACTGCCCCCCGGACAACTGCCCCCGACAACTGTCCCTGGCTATCTGCCCCCGTCCATTGTGCCCCGGACAAGTGCCCCTAGGCTAATTGCCCCTAGGAATAAACTCTGTCAAAAGAAACGCAACCCCTGTATTTTAGAGATTTTTGATCTGAAGTTTTAAGACGACACAGCATTTTATTATTTAAGACAGAAGTCTGAAATTTGGCAGAATAATAACCAAGATGGGCATGTTTAAAATTGTCATTTCAAAGTCATCTCACAGACACCAGTTTGTCACCAGGGGGCGTCTTTCTCAGTATCTCGTATGAGCACCACGAGCTGCAATCACTGCACGGCATCTCCTTGGACAAGAACGGATAAGACGCCGGATTCTTTCCTGGGGAATGGCTCTCCACTCCTCCTGCAGTGCAACGCCGAGCTGTTGCAGCGTCTGTGGCGGCGGCTGACGTTGACGTACGCGTCGACCCAGAGTATCCACAGGTGTTCAATAGGGTTGAGGTCTGGTGATTTAGAGGGCTATGGCAAGACATTGACGTTGGAATTCTGCAGAAAGTTCATTGTTGCACGTGCAGTATGAGGCCGGGCGTTGTCTGGTTGAAAAATCTGTGTCTGTTGGTCAATAATCGGGAGAAGGTGAGGCTGTAATACGTGGTTGATGTAACGTTGGGCTGTCAGGTTCCTTCAACGATCACCAAGTCTGATTTCTGGTTGTATGAGATGGATCCCCAAACCATAACGCTTTCTCCGCCAAATCTGTCCCCTGTCGGACGCAGATGGGCGCAAAACGTTCATGACGTCTCCTATACACGTTTTCTTCCGTCGTGATGTTGCAAAGAAAGCAGGATTCATCAGAAAACCAGATGCGCCTCCAGTTTTGTAAAGTCCATATCCTTACGTTGTTGCACCACCTGAGTCGTCGGCGGAGATGTAGGGGGCGTAGTACAGGTCCAACAACTGGTCTACAGGCACGTAAACCCGCTTCTTTCAGACGGTTCCTAATCGTTTGAGCTGACACTCTCCTCAAACCTGGTATTTGTGTGGCAGTCACGGTTGGTAGGGCATGCCGATTACGCAGGTGATGGACCCGGATGTACCGATCTTGAAGGGGTCGTGATTCTTGGCCTTCCACTTCTCGGGCGATCGTTGGTCAAATTGAAGTTGTTGTAGCGGCTCCAAAGTCGGGATATCGTTGTTTTGTGAACATTTAGGTGCCGTGCAACAGTTCCAAAACTTTCTCCGGCGAACACGACCAATGGCGATATTTCGGTCGGCAGCACTCAATCGTGGCATTTTTCACACAGCTTTTCATGCGACAAATGAATGAATATAATACGAAAGCACATGGGCTTTTATACACTACATTAACTGCCATTTTCATGATTTGCATGTGTTTTTGTGCAGAAGTCACCATGAGGGTCATTTCATGCGTTGTGACGGAATAAGCAATAAAATACACTTATGCGTACAAATGCAGTTGTTTGGATGGTAATCTTCATTAATTACGTGTATAATTTCAATACATTCGAATAACATTTAGTTTGGAAGCAATAACTTCATTCAAACGAATTTTTCATATCTGAGGACAGGGGTTGCGTTTCTTTTTTTGACAGAGTTTATAATCTATTTTGTGCCATTAATAATTACTTTTCAACGAGCTTCTAGAGCTCTTAACATGTCTCCTAACATGCTGAAATGTGTTGACGGGACTCCAGCAATCAATCAGGGCAAACGGGGGTGGGGGGTCATTTCAATCTCATTTAGGACTGATAACTTATATACTTTTCAGAAAACTCAACTATCACTAACACTCACTCTTGAAGAAGTACCTTGAAACAGAACACGATTTAATTGTTACAAAATACAGTCAATGGCAACCTTTGAATACAGTTGGATACAGATACAGAAACATATTTAGTGAAAATAGAGCTGTGTTATGTGGACGATCTAACATTGTTCGTCTCTCCGAATGCATTATCTTCGAATCATCAAGCACAAACGTAAAGATTGAGCCTGTTTTCATAGATGGGACGTTGGTAAATGCCTCTCACACAGCCAGCAGTCAGTGGGTACCTAGTGGAATGGGTGAAGTATCGATTATTCCCTGATTAGCCTGCCAACTCAATCAATATCATGCGCAGTGCAAACTATCACAGCGTGCAGCATCCAGAGTGAGTGAGTGGGTTTAGTTTTTACGCCACACTCAGCAATATTCAAGATAAATGTAAATAATCGTGTCTGGACAAGACAATCCAGTGATCAACAGCATAAACATCGATCTAGTGACCACCCGATCCCGTTAGTCGCCTCTTACGACAAGCATGGGTTAGAGAAGAACAATTCTAACCCAGATTTTCACGGGTGGCAGCGTCCAGAGAGCAAGGCCCCGAGATATAATAACCTTAAATGTGTTAGGTTGACGTGGCTGGAGGAATATGACCTTTTCTTCCAGGGCTACAAAACCACATCTTTATGAAATCAGAAATCCTAACAAACTTGAATCCGTGTATTTGATTTACAACTACGTCCACGGTTAAGATCACACCGTCTTACGACTTTCTCCATACCATATGATCTCAATAGAGTTTATATTGAGCATCATTAAAGGTGACCACGGACGTTCGGACACAACCCATACAATGCCTGATGATGAAAAGCTAGCAAATGAATTCCTTAGTTGGGAAACAGTGGAGAATTGGCAGCGTTGCCGAGATACTGGTCACATGATGGACTTCAGCAAAAACAACAATCCCGCCTGTTTGGGTCAAAAGATACCGATGAATCACAATCTAACCCCAACTCGGTTCATGATCAAACATTCATTTTAACAAAGAATGTAATAAAACGCCACACCAACTCTGGAAAAAAGTGTGTCTCCGAGATTAAAAGGTTATTTAGCAGCCTATCATGATTTTGTTTTGAGTTTTGAGTTTTGTGAAGTTGTACGAGGGTAAACTAAAAGTAGTACTATTGCAGGAGGTGAGGTGAGGTGAAATTGGGTTTAACGTCGTGCTTGAGAATATTTCGCTCATATGACGACTATTGCACTACTATTGCAGGAACAGCAGTTTCATAATCCATCGGGAATCCAGTATTTAAGGCATCTTGTATCCCATGCGTGTCGAAATAGCCGGGTAGCGAGGGAGAGGTGGTCAGACTCGGTAACTGACTGCGTGACATCATGGCAGACAGGGTTAATCGTTGTTCATGTTTTCAATCACTATGAACAACGATAGTCAATAGTTGTTTTATATGCTTTCAGTGTGTTGTATTTGAAAACAGAT